AAATAGCTGTTGGTAAAAGGGTTTCAACACGAGAGTAAAAATTTTCGCACTCTTACAGGAAACAGTGTCAATAGGGGAATCTATCAAAGGGCTTAAAAGAGAGAGGTTTGGGGGGGGGGGTGTTATTAGGTGCATTAATCTCTTCCTTATCTCAGCGTAACAAAAGGAACAAAATCAGACAAACTCATTCGAAAACATTTTCGGAAAAGGTGTATTTCCGAAAGTAGTAAGCAAACAAATCAACAGAAAAGTGATTTTCTGCTCGTTTAGTAAAAATTCCACTGATGACCAAAATACACGTTCACTTAAATGCGGCTATTATTTGAAGATGGCTCTCAAATTATCAACGCTTATAAAACCATTACCTATATCTCATGCAGAGTAAAATATATATTGCTTATTTATATTAGGAAAGTAATTACAATCACAAGGGTAAATATTTTAAAGTACTATGCAAACATGGGAGAGGTTTGCAAATCTTTCTTTCTGTTGGCAAGCATTCAAAGTATTTACTTTAATGACATTCTGGAAGAAATACCCTACACCTCCGCCGGATACCTGGGAAGATGCACATGCAGCCTTGTCTTAGAGAAAAAGAAAAGGAAAAAAAAAAAAAAAGGTGCCTCTGCCCCAAAATACGAATTGGTGGTACGGTATTTCTGATAACCCATCACATTTCTTATCCGAAGTATTATCATTCTTGGGAGAAAGGAGGGGGGGGGGGTGGGGAAGAAAAAGAAAAAAAAATAAATGAGATGCACCGTTTACAAAAATCTATTGCAATGCATATCTTCATAAAAGCTTTGGGGTGGATAGTGAAACGCAAGCACTACCAGAGCAAATAAATCTGATGCTTAGGACGGACAGACAGGTAGCTGAATTGCGTTACACATAGAAATATAGCCCAGACACAACTCAGCAAGTACATTTCTGTTAATTAAAAGCTTAACCTTGTTCTAAACGGTAGACGAGAGAGGGGGGTGGAAAGAACAAGGAAAAAGAAAACAACTAAGGGGCCTGTAGGGTTGTTGCCGTTCAGTTTAAAAAGACTAAACGCCTTCTTCCAACATGATCTACAAAAGCTGACACGTAAATGGCAGGAGAGAGGGCTCGCAGAGCTGGCACGCTGGTGCCAATATTCCTGCAGTTCCCTCTCCCGAGGGAAAAACATTCAGTCCGGGTTTTTCGGTTGATCCTGACCAGGGTTTACAGCTCGCCAGCCTGACCTGTCAAGCGGATTATTTTAGAGGGAGATTAATAGGGGAGGCGGGCTGCAATAATAATCGTTTTGTTTGATGTGACAACTTTGATAGGCGTTGATTTACTTACAAACTGATAGGCTTTTAATTGAGCGCCTCCATCCAGCTTGAGATGAAAGGAAAACCGCATTGAAAAGCTGCCCGAGTGCCCTCGAGCCTCAATACTGATTAGCCATCTCGACAGTGAATAGTTCAAGGCATTTTCAAACTTTTTTTCCTCTCTCGCTCTCCTCTCCTCAAATATCTGCCAGCCCACTCCTTTTTAAGAGAAAATAAATCATTTCCATTGTGTGCAAATAAAATCGACTTGACATGCTTGCCAATAGCTGGTAGGTAAAGGAAAGTGTGGACTGGCACTTGTTAATTAATTCCTCCTTTGCTCTCCCTTTTTTTTAAGTTACAATTTTCCTTTGTAAGAGGAGGAAGACGGGTTCCAACCCTCGGTTTTCCTGTGTTGGTGGTTTGCTGCCTTTTCTTTTTTAAGGAGAATAAAAACGAGAGCCACCAAAACTTCAACAAGATGACACAAGTAACTGCAGAACAACAGACTGCCTGCACGGACTCAGTAAGCAAAGGTCCCTCTCAACCGGGACGGAATCCCTCTTCTTCGGCTCAAGAGAGGAAAGGAGCCCGCAGCAGCCAAAGCAAAAACGCCGCACCGCTTCCAAGCTGCAGCCCGCCGCCCGCCCCTACGAGTGTGCATCCCAACTCTGAAACACTCACTGAGAATCGGTTCCTATGTGTGTTGAGCGCAGTGAACAAGCTCTCATAGCTCAGAAGCGCTCCGGAGGGGGGCAAAGGGAAGGGGATGTCTTGGGGCTGGATTTTTTACAAGCTTCTGCATAAAAAGTTTACAGTACTGAGCGTGATTTCAATCTCGTTTCAAAGGCTGAGTGGGGGGGGGGGAAAGAACAATAAAAGCTGTTCTCTGAAGTTACTAATTAAATTACCCTCTGATGCTTCTACTTCAGCCAGAAAGATCGGGGTTAGTGCTGTTCCCCCTTTTCTTCCCTCCGCTCTTACCGTCGGTGAACTGCCTGTTTTACACATGTACTGGTTATCGCCTTTGCTTCCTTGGCTCACAAGTAAAACAACCCTTTCCAGAAATCACCCTCACCTCCACAAGAAAAGACAGAGGGAAGGGAAAATGGGGAGGGGGGAGCCTTCCTACAGCTGACTCTACCTTAACACAATTAATCTTTAGTCTTTCACCCTGGGAGGCAGGATAAATACAACGAGAAAACAGATAGGAGTCTCCCTGGTCCTGTAAGGAAAACAGCTGTTCCAAGCACTTTAATGCAAATGAACACAAATGAAGGTTTCAGCTTTTTTTTTTTTTTTTTTTTCCCTTCCTTCTTTCCCTTCCAGAGTTTTACTGCACTCCATTTATCAATTGGACTTGACAACAAAAGAAAGAACTGGGGGAAAACCTGGGACAGATTCAAGTCACTTCCACTCTATATAAAGGTGTGGGGGGGGGGAGTTCCTTAAAGGCAAGTTGTGGGTCCTGTCAGTCCTATTGCGATATCAGTTTTTATTAGAGATTTCTTTCACCACGCCCCCCCCCCCCTTCAATTTTCACAGTCTTGTAAGATGACTGAGATTGCAAAATCAAAGTACGTTTATGACTTTCCACTGGGAAGTTGTGGCAGTAAGCCTTATGCTTTCAGAGAAATGCAGAAATTAAAAAGTTTATTAAAATTAATTGTATATTTCTTAAGCTAGAGGAGTTCCACATATTTACCATGCCCTATACACTTCGTTGAAAAAGTAAAGTAGTTTTAATAAAAGGCAGCATATATACTTACTTAGCTGCAGGATTTAAAGAGTACCGCTTTACCGGGGAGGGGGGAGGGGGGAGGAACACACACCACATATCTAGGAAAACCTGCCTTATGTCTACCTCGTAAGAAGAGCGTATCATTAAAGGCTGACACATCTGTTTAGGGACTGGGGGAGATCAGTTTCAAGGGAAGAAAAAGGACTTAGTTCAGCAGATATAAACGGGAGAAAGTGAAAGTCCTTCCTCTCGCTCACCCCTTCCAGGATCAGCGCCTGTTCTGGTCGGAGTCCAGGTCAGGAATTGGACGCGACCCCTAAAGCACTTGCCTTGTTCTTCACTTGTCAAACGTGTTTTATCGCTAAGTGACCTTTTTGTTAATGTTGTAGATTGTGTGGGCCACCATGTCAGATCCGGAAACAAAAGTAAAAGATTAACACATTTTGCCTGTGAAAAAATGTTACGGGATGAGGAGGTGGGGGGATAGTGGGATGCAAAGTACAAAGAGAAAGAAAAATGCAGCCCTGGGAGCGACAGAAAGGCTATGGACTCCGATCGGGGCGTCTGCCTGCACGGTAAAAGCCGGGGTTGGGGGCAGAAGACCTGGTACGCTTCGAGAGCATACAAACACAAAGCAGGATAAATGTAACACTCGGGTGGATTGCGTGTGCACACCCACGAGGTTCTCAATACAGCCTAGCCGAAAGCAAACACTTAAATGGCGAACCAATACTATACTCTCGCTGAGGTGAGGGTGCGCCTCCCCAGGCCCCCAGTGCCTGCGATCGGGCCAGACCGGCGGGTGCAGGGACGAAGGGCTCTTCTTCAAAGACGACGAGGAGGGCAGGGGAAGAAGAGCCAGGCAGTCCTCCCCGGCCCCACACCGCGGACTCCGAGCAGGGCAGCGCTGTGCGGGGAAGGCTACCGGGTGCTGGCACACAAATAGAGTTTACTCAAAGGATTTATTCCGTAAACGGAATGGCTTTTTCTCCCGAGAAACCCGTCGCTCCCTCTATTTTCCTTCCCCTCTCTCTCTCTCTCTTTCCCCCTTCAAGTCACACCAGGCTTGTAATCAGCAACAAAAGCTGACATAAATCAAGGGCGGATTGACAGGGGCTGACAAATAACTGATTGATTGCGGTTGGGGAGCACTGACAATTGACGGCGGGGCGGAGAGACCCGAAAGGCGGCGGCGAGCTGTGCGTGACAGCCCCGCGTGTGACGACCGGCCTCCCCCAATCCCGCCGCGCTCCCCGCGCCGCCGCAAGCCGCGCCGCAGCTCCCCATCTCCCGCCCGCCGCCGGCGGTGAAGTGGAGGCCGCCGCTCTGCAGGTTCTCGTCCGAGCCTACCCCCGCGTTGTCAGGCGGGAGGGGCGGGAAAAGCGCTCGCGCCCTTCTTCGGGGCCTGGAGAGGACGCGGCGCGGCGGAGGCCACGGAGCTGTCCCGACGGGCTTGCCCCGGGAAGAAGCGGAGGGCGCGGGCTGGGCCCATAAGCGCCGTGCGTGGCGGACGGGCGGCGGCAGGCCGCGCTCGGGGCGCTGTGCGTGCGGCGGGGCTACACTCGATAATGGGGGGCAGCAGGGACCTGGAGCCGCCCCCCCTGCAGGCGCGATGCCCCCAGCCCCACGGCCGCCCCACTGCTGCCGGGCGATCCGCACCGGCTGCGGAGGAAGAAAAACGTTCCCAGCGTGTGATGTGAAACACAGAATTAACGCCCAGCCCGTCCTAGGAGCGAAAACAAGGAAGGAGGGGAGGAGAGAGGGAAGGCGGACAAGAAAGAGAAGGGAAAAAAAAAAAAAAAAAAAAAAAAAAAAACAACAGCGAGAGACCATTAAAAACAGGGGAAAAAAAAAAGCCCCAGAAAAGGGAACGTCACATCCCCTTGACCCTCCAATCACCTCGGGGTCCCATTTGATTGGAAGGCGGCAAAGGCTTTAATCTCAGACTAATTCAGCTGCTTTTGAAGTGAGTTTCTCTGCCAGATCCCGGGCTGGATGGGCAGCGGCTCGCAGCAGAGCTGAGCGGCGGAGGCGAGCGCTCCGTTCCGCGCCGCACCGCGCCAGCCGGCGGAGCCGGGAGCGGCCGAGGGGGACCGCGGCACACGCTCGCAGCCCCCACCCCGCCCCCAGCGCAGCCCAAGGATTACTCGGCTTTTTTTTCCTCCTCTTTCTCTCCGGCCGGCTCCCCCTTTCCCTCCCCCTCCGCACCCACGCCCTCCCCGCCAGAGAGAGACACGGGACATTTTATGTTTGCTTTCCTGCTCAGGGGGTGTGCGGCTTTTTTCCCTCCTCGTCTGCAGAAAGCGAGCGAACGTTTCCGAGTGCGAGCGGCACCACTTGCCCCAGTTTTCATGAGAGGTTTTGGGTCATGATCACATCGCCCTCGCTTTCTGCTATAAGAAGTAGTAAGCGCAGCAGCAGCCTCAGCGAACCGGGAGGCAGCCCCCGCCGGAGCCGCAGCGCCGCCGACCTCGCCGGGCCGAACGGGCACGCTGGGAGTAACGGCAGCAGCGCCTCCGCCAAGCCCTGCTTCCACGCCGTCCCCCCCTCGGACCCGCTACGCCAAGCCAACCGCCTTCCCATCAAAGTCTTGAAAATGCTCACGGCGCGGACTGGACACATTTTACACCCCGAATACCTGCAGCCTCTACCTTCCACGCCCGTCAGCCCCATCGAGGTAAGGACCTCTCGGAGCCGGCCCTGGTTCCTTCTCCCCTGCCCGCTCAGCTCTCGCTGTACATGGCGGCCCCGCCAGCCTCCCTCGGCACCGTCCTGCGCTTTGAAACGCGCCTGCAGCGGGAAACGGGCTGCTTTGATCTAGAGTTAGTGCGAGGAACCGCTTCTGACTGTTTTCATTCATGTTTACTGGGATAATTTCACGTTCCTGTGTAAATTAACTTTTGGGGGGGGGGGGGGGGGGTGTTTTTTTTTTTAGTTTTTTTTTTTTTTTAGTTTTTTTTTTTTTTCTGAGAGGAGGGTGCGTGAAGGGAAACGACTCGCTTAGGGGTCACGATCAGGCCACGCAACCAAACAGTGCTCCGAGTGCCAAACAGTCTTGCTTTTGCAGGGAGCTGTTGGGGGAGTGGGGGGGAGCAGAGGGACAGGCTCACGCCTGGGTGCGGCAGGAGGATAACTATTTCAGCTCCCCCACCGTTGCCTTTCAAGTACCGACAGACGCTTGTACTTCAAGGGCCCTATTCGTCCCTTTTCTCCTCTTGTTGAGGTTGTTGGTCCCCCTGGGCGTAGGGGTCTCTTTGCGGGACCGAAACTCGAAGGGAGCGGGTGGTGGGAAGGGTGTGTCCGTGGGGATGAATGATTTCATTAAGGTCTTTGCGGAGCGAGGATACCCCTCTCCCCTGGAGCCAGCTAACTTGGGCTCTGTTTATAAATAGTGTCAGCAGTAAGGGCGCAGAAATGCTGCAGCTGCTCCAGTCCACGGGCGGTTTGTCCTCCCGCACGGCCGGAGTGGCGGGGAGGTGAATGGCGAGGACCCGAGCGCCGGGCTGCCACCGCTGCCGGGGGAAGCAGCGGACACTGAAGGCGGCCGCGGTGGGCTCGCAGGGATACTAAAAGCCCCAGCCCTTTTTAAAGGCTTTGTGGAAAATGGTGCATGCAGGGGACGGAGATGTCAGGGGGATGAATGCGCTCAAAATCATTCACTACTTCCAAGATGTTCTCGCCAAAATCGTACGGGACAAGCGTCCTAGGTACGTCCCGGGCTTTATCTCGGCACCCGATTAAACCTCTGTCTTTGTACTTCTCATTTCCGCAGCTGGATGCGAAGAAGAGTCCCCTGGCCCTTCTGGCACAAACTTGCTCGCAGATAGGGAAGCCAGACCCGTCCCCGTCCTCCAAACTCTCCTCGGTCACTTCCAATGGCTCCGGAGGCGACAAGGACTCCAAGTCGGGGCCCCTGAAGCTCAGCGACATCGGCGTGGAGGACAAATCGAGCTTCAAGCCGTACTCGAAGCCAGGCGCAGAGAAGAAGGAGCCGGGGGCGGCGGGCTGCGCGGGCGCCCCCGCCGCGGGGGTCGCGGCCGGGGAGAAGTCGGGATTCCGGGTGCCGAGCGCCACCTGCCAGCCGTTCACCCCAAGGACAGGCAGTCCCAACTCCAGCGCCTCCGCCTGCTCGCCGGGGCTGCTGCCGGCCGAGGGCAAAGGCGGAGAGGACAAGAAGGACTCAGAGGGCTGCGGAAAGAGCGGCAGCTCCGGTTCGGAGGGAGGCCCGGGCACCACCAGCATCAGCCACAGCCGGATTAGCGTGAGCTGTGCCGGGATTAACGTGGAGGTCAACCAGCACCAGGAGAGCACGCCGGGCTCCAAACCCATCGTTTCGGACTCCGCCTCCTCCTGTAGCAGCACCACCGCCACCTCCTCCACCTCCGTCCTGGGCTCTGGTCTCGTGGCCCCCGTCTCCCCCTACAAGCCGGGCCAGACCGTCTTCCCCCTGCCCCCCGCGGGCATGAGCTACCCGGGGACGCTGGCTGGAGCATACGCCGGCTACCCGCCCCAGTTCCTGCCACACGGAGTGGCACTGGACCCCACCAAATCCTCCAGCCTGGTGGGAGCCCAGCTGGCTGCCGCCAGCAGCCTGGGCTGCAGCAAGCCGGCGGGGTCGAGCCCGCTGGCGGGCGCGTCGCCGCCGTCGGTAATGACGGCGAGCTTGTGCCGAGACCCGTACTGCCTGAGCTACCACTGCGCCAGCCACCTGGCTGGAGCCGCCGGTGCCTCCTGCGCCCACGATCAGGCCCTCAAGTCCGGATACCCCCTCGTCTACCCCACCCACCCTTTGCACAGCGTGCACTCCTCGCTAACTGGCGCCACGCCGCCCTCTCTGGCCGGCCATCCTTTGTACCCCTACGGCTTCATGCTCCCCAACGACCCCCAGCCACACATCTGCAACTGGGTGTCAGCCAACGGACCTTGCGACAAGCGCTTCGCCACCTCGGAGGAGCTGCTTAGCCACTTGCGGACTCATACTGCCTTCCCGGGCACCGATAAACTCCTCTCCAGCTACCCCAGCTCCTCGTCGCTGGCCAGCGCAGCGGCAGCGGCCATGGCATGTCACATGCACATCCCTACGACGGGCGCCCCGGGCAGCCCGGGCACGCTGGCCCTGCGCAGCCCACACCATGCACTGGGACTCGGCAGCCGCTACCACCCATACTCCAAGAGCCCCCTGCCCACCCCCGGGGCTCCTGTGCCCGTGCCCGCCGCCACCGGACCCTACTATTCCCCTTACGCACTCTACGGGCAGAGACTCACCACAGCATCAGCCCTGGGGTACCAGTGAGCACAGGCAGCGGGGCTTTGACACACAACACACAGTCTAGCAGTGAGGGAAGGAAGCCCTGCAAAACTTTATAAAAGTTGGAAAGAAAAACAAACAAAAATCAGACTTTTTATAAAATAGTGTTCATTTGAGGACTGGATCCGTGAGCACTGTATTTATTTATGTTAGCTTCAAGCGGGACAACGAATCATAAAGTGCATTACTTAACTGAGCTCAATAGGTAAAAGTGGAACACCCATTGTAGAATATAAATAAAAAGATAGAGGTCTTCTCTTTAATGTTACTTTAAAATTGCTATGATTGTATTGTACGTTCTTATTTAATGTCTCACTGAAACAAAAAAATTTACATGCATGTTTGTTACTAAAAAACAACTCGCAATTTGTCAGTTATAATTTCAAATTGCAATTATTTTTAAGGTGTATACCCTTGAAAGAGAATTGGTATTTTTTTGTATGTATTCTGGAAGAAAAACAAAAACAATTCTATTCCAAAAACCTCATTTGCCTTATTTTGTTCTTTAAAAGGAACACTTATCTATTTTTAATTTTTAAGTCCACCCTGTAAAAAGGGTTAAGTAAGATTTACGTCATGTACTAAAATAGACAATGTATCTCTTTAAAGATTAAAATTCCATATATTTGATGTATTAAAAGGTTTTACTTTTTTTTTTTTTTTTTAAATATGCCTTGATTCTGTTCTAAAACCCAAGTAAGGTCTTGGATGGAGGCAACTGCTAATTTCTCCTTAATCTTTTATTCACTTTTAATTAAAATTTAAAATAAAAACCAAAGGTTTTTTTTATTTTTATTTTTTTTAATTGTAACCCCAAGGCTCTCTTAAAAAAAAAAATAGTATTTTTTTTTTCTCTTCAGTAGAATTCATAGGGATGCAATAGGAAAACTGAGAATCAGTTAAATCTCTTTCACTTTCCTAAGGAAGATTAACATTTTTTTTAAAGTTTCTACTGTGAAAACCTGTTTTTTAAATCTGGGTTTCAATTAAAAGACTTTGCTCTTTCTTTAGAAAGAAACGGGGAAGGCAGGACGTATTTGTAAAAGAGTAAGGAGATTATCTGAAAGCTTTTTTTACAGTGTAATGCATAACCGTCTCCTCTTCGAAATGAGAAGTTCAGAAGCAATTAGGGAAGCGCTCTTTGATCTCATCCAGTTATTTTCAATTTCTTTTTTCAGTTCCTACTTGCAGCACAAACGATCATCACATTAAAAAAAAAAAATAATCGGACAGCTCTGAAAACTCTTTTTCTTTTAAAAAGGAAGGGAAGGGGAAAAATACGAAGTCCATCCATTATTTGTTCCGAGTTTGCTCTTTACTCAAGTGCGGTGCCAAACTCGACGTGATGCCGAGAAGGGCTGCCCCTGCCTGCGCCGCGCCTCTGCCTCCCCAGCCCGGGCTTCCCAGCACCCGGGGCTGCCGCCCGACTCCGGCTCTTCGTCCTGCACGCAGGTAGGAGCGGAGGCTGCGACGGGAAAGCCAGAGCAGCTACGGCGACTGCGGAGCTAACCGTTGCCGCCGAGATAGTCGGAAAAGATACCCAAGTCCTTAAAGGCAATGCCAGCCAAGGGCTTCGCTCCCACGGCGTGCCAGACGCTCGCAGGGCGGCCCAGGCAGGGTGAGTACCTGCTGCCCCTCGGCCGGCCCCTCTCCCCACAGCGGGCTGCCTGCTGCCCTCTCCCCGGCCCCAGCGCGACGCTCCAGCAGGGGGAAAAGTTGCAAGCGGGAACTTTGTAAATCGCTGGGGTTTCTCCCGCCTTCTGTGTCCCCCACAATATAATTACTGTTCAAAGTTTCCCGTGGTGCTCAGATGCTAATTAGTCTAATGCATTTACTCCAGATAATTAGTGGAAGTTAACGTTAATGTGCAAAAGGAGAGAAAAGCAGCAGGCTAATGAAGCTCCAGCGCTAGCCCGGCTGTCCCGGCACCCGGTGCGGCGCGCCTGCCGGGGCTGCTCCGGGCCCGGGCCAGGAGCTGTGGCCGGGACGCGCATAGGGACGCCGGGTGCTGGGCCCCGCTGCGCCTCTTTTGGGACGCTGATTAGACAGCGGGAAATGTTTTGTGTTTTAAACAGATTTATTCCCCCCCCCCCACTTAACCGTGAAAGGGACCGTTGCGTATCTCCGCTGTAAATCGAGCTCTCGTTATGAACTGATGAGCTGGAGAAAGGGAGATAAAGGCAGCACTGCTAACTGCACCAAGTAAACTTAATAGTAAAATAGAAAGCGGATACAAACGCAGTAAGTAGGCGAAAGAAGGGCTTTGCGGGTCGGGGTGGGGGCGATAGTGGCAGAGGATTTAACCAGCGAGCCCGGAAAAGGCCGATTAAGCAAGCAGCCCCCGGCCGGCCTGCCCACCCCGCTTCGCTGTTTCAACTACACCTAGTTCGAAGAAAATTATATTTCAGACTCCATCTGCGTGTGCGAGCAACTATTACAGATTTGCCACAATTGAAAACCACCACCGCCGCACACGCGCCTCTTCTGCTCACCTATTTTACACTTTATACAGAGTCCTAACAGCTGCAGCCCAGCCTTCGCTGGTGTAACCCACCAGGTGTGCAGGGGCTACTTCAAAAAGAGCCGAGAAGGGTTTCTGTGTCCTGGAGCACTAATGGCAGTCTTGTGCGTATCAGCTCTGAAAAGTTACACACGTAAAGATTTCTGATGCGAGTGATGAAGTGAACGCTTAACGTTAACATTACTGTTTTGCTCGGATACTGTCCCCGAAATTAATAAAAATTTGAAATAGCTTATTTTATATGTAGACTGGTGGTAAGGAGGTCTCTCTTCCAGGCTTGTTAAGTATTTGACCTGGCAAGTGTCACCTAGGATTTTGATATTAATCTAGGAAATTTGCTTTTTTTTTGTCCTAATACAGATTGACTTATGGACATTAATGTTTTTAGGTAAAAGAGACTCATTGTTATTCCCTCCCCCCCCCCCCCCCCCCCCCGTTCTTACTAACTGGATGGGTCGTGGAGTTGACAGCAGCCGCTGGTCCATGCCACCGAACTAAAATAATTTCACAGTGAAAAACCAGCTCGAGAGGACAAGCAACAGAAGGGCAAAACCCATCAAAACCTGAAACTCTGATCAATCTGACCAGAGTCAGGCATACATTAGTTTAAATTAAACTGTTTCTTCTTTCTCACAAATCTTTTTTGAACATTAAAGATAAACGCATGTAATATTTAAATCAACTCTTGTCAGATGCTAAGTGCAACTAAAGAACTAAAATAAAAATGTGTTTCCATCCCTTCTCAAAGGCTTACGCTGGATGCCACTTCGACAAAATACTTCTGATAAGCAACGCTTAGAAAAGAAAGGTTCTGTTTATCTTATCTACGGGGAAATGTAATGATGGTAGTTTTATGAAACAATAAAACACCGGACTCCACAGAGAGCAAAGGAGTTTCTGTAATATATCTGAGCTTATGTATGGGCATATGTATCTTGGTTTATTCGTATATGTCCACTCCAAACACATACGTATAATTTTGCTTGCCTGATTTTAGAATACAAAACGTAAGCTAGAGCTAAAATACCGGGATGCCGTTAAAACGGGAAGATTTTCCGCAGCGATGAGGCTCCATTTTCTAAGAGCGGGAAGTCACCCGCTGCCCATCGCTGCGTCTGAAGGTACCCTCCTCGCAGCCAGCAAGGTACGCGCTGCGCGGTGGCTGGGCTGAGCCCCTGCTCTCTGATCCGAGCTTCGCAATGGTCTGATCACACCTACAATCGAAATCACAGGGGCAAGTGGGTCCCTGAAAGGCCCAGAGTTCCCGGAACAACCGCATCTGTACCTTCCTAGTCTGTAAAAACATGGGTCAAACTTAATTCTTTCAGATTTAGAAAAGACGGAGAGCAATGTTGAAATGCTGCCTTGCTGTAATACTGTTGGCTCGTGCTACAGGTTTTTCAGTGGAGCGCGGTTGGGGGGGGTGGGTGGTTTGGCTTTTTTTTTGTGTGTGTGTGTGTGTGTGTGTGTGCACGCTCCTTTCTTTGGGTGGTGGTGGCGTATGGTTTAGGGTGGTTTTGTTTTCTTTAAAGGAATTAATATAAAGTTGGAAAATCGCTACAGTTACCAGCATCAAGTCTCCTTCCCAACCAGATTCCGGGGATTTTTTTTTTTGACATTTCGAATCCCAACATGTGCTTCCCCACACCCCGATTCTCCCTGCACAGTAAAGCACAGCCCACATTGCTTCACGAAGAGTCCTGCGGCAGGCAAGTGATCAGTCCTGATCGGAGGTGTCTAATCCCTGCTGAATCTCTCTCTCAGTTCAGTCCTAGGAAACTAGGGGCAGATTGCTTTTTTTTTTGTAAGGTAAAATTTTGTTGCAGTAAAAAACAGTGTCAACAGAAAAGAGAGGGACCCCGGGTCCGTACGCTCCCACCTCTTTTGAGGTGGAATGCTTTGGCAGCAGTGACGGGGTTGAAATTTGAGCAGATTATACACTTGGACTTGTGCATAAACGCGAAAAGGCTGTTCTAATACTGGTTATTTTTCCATCAAGACCAACCAGGTGCTGCTGCTGCAAAAATCCCACCTCTGGCCGCTTGTTCTGTGCGTGTGTGCATGCACAGCAATGCACAGACTTTGTTTTCTCTGTATGTCTGAAATTCATCAACCGCTCCCCCCTTGCCTCCACCACATCCCCTATGTGAAAAAAAGTAAATCCGTTCAGGCTTTGAATATTGTAAGAAGCCTTGTGTGTATTTTTTTTTAATCTTCAAATGAATTAAAGACAACCTGACAATGCTGTCATCTGTCTTCAACGTCACATCAAGGCACGAAATAATGATAACAGAGCAGCAGAAAGACGCCCACTGAAACCTGGAGTATATATATACACATATACACACACACATATATGTCTTGAAACAGTTTGAAGGAGAACAAAATTAGATTACGGTTCTTAGGCTATCACAGTAAGAACGTGGGAGGTTTTTTCTTTTTTTTTTGTTTGTTGCTTTTTTTTTTAGCCAAGTGCTTCATCTTTCCTGCTTGTCTTCGTGAAGCGTCTGCTCCTTGATCCAAACCACTTCTGTGGGATCAGGTAAGACAACGAGCAGGCGCATTCTTTGCTCCTGAACTACTACGACCAATGGAAACACGAAATCTCCCCTCCCCCTCCATCGTTTCAGGTTCTCGTTGCACTAAAAGGTTACTGCTCTCCTGAAGTACAGGCCAGATCATAGCACACTTTAAGTGGAGACTCACGCGGGCCCGTAGTCCCGCGCAGCTCAACTGTCCCGGGGGAAAGAGAAGTCTCCTTCCCTTTGTCTTTGCGGCCCTGCGAGGTTTGGCTCGAGCTCCCTCCTCCCGCCAGGCGGCGCTGCCGGGTCCCTGGAGGAGGCGAAGGGCAGCGCCGGGAGCGGCCGCCTTCCGCGGGGGGCGGAGGGCGCCGGACAAGGCTTCAGCCCTTGCTCCGGCCCTCGAGGCCAGGCCTCGGCGGCCGACTGCGGACGGGTATCGCCTCCGCCGGCATCCGACGTGCAGGTTCTTAGCACGATAAGAATCGCTTGTTTGGGACAGAGGGAATCGCCGATCTAATCCTAGGGGAAGTATTGCAGCATAAATGGATTTAACCAGATGAAAACAGATAGGCTGGACGAAACAGAAAAACAACTGTTGTGTTGTGGGTTGGTGTACTTTTTTTTTTAATCACACTTGTAATCTCATTCACTCTGAAGGGTAAATAAATTGCCGTTGTACGAAAAACAATTGGTGCTACATGTGTTCATAACAGATGGGATCTTATCACAGTTTAACTGTAATAAATTCTGACTTCTGGAAATTGTAATCTTTACTCCATGTTAGACGTCTCTTTTCTGCTGTAATAAGAGGGCTACAAACTTCTGAGATCAAGCAGAAAAGTTTTCAGTGCCAACTCTGCTCCAGAGTCAGGGTGTGCTTCTGCCGCCACCGCACAACCCCGACGCTTCCAAGGCATCCATGAAAACATGTCCAAAAATCAAAAGGGAGAGAAATCCCTGGTGCACAGGGAGGCAAACAGTCATCAGCTGGGTCACACTAATTTTTAAGGCCAATGATAATAGTCCTTAAAATACATGCAGAAAAACTAAGAATGAGCTGTGTGGAGAAGCCCTGGCAAATGACAGATCATTCCTTGCTTTGCAAAGAGAGTGTCAGAAGAGGAAACCCAGCCCCTGAGGAAGCCAAGCCCAAACTTTAGATTAATCCCCCTGCGATTCAGATCACAAAATTAAAAAATAAATTTGAATAAGCACTGAAAGGATAAAATTATAATAATAAATTGTCCGTATTCACTGAGGCTGCGGGACTAATTATTTTCACCATCTCGGCTTCCCATTGCTGTTTATCAAGTCGCAGGGTAAATGCCTATAAATCCATTACATTTCCATAAATCCTTTCACCGCTTTCTTTTTGGCCAATGCTTTTGCAACATTAATTGATTTTATTGCACTTTCTGAAGTCACTGTATATTACATTCTAGCAAGTTTGCTCCAAAAGCGGTTTTTTTTATCCATCGGCGCATGAAACCCGTGAACAGGAATTACTGAAGCTAGTTTAGACTCCAGTCTCTTTTCTCCCCTGCTGTGATCTTGATGGCAAATGCGAACTGCAAATCACAGGTCTCTAATAATTTACCCTGTTACAGAAAACAGCCCGTTTATCGCTGGTGAAAAATTAGTCCAAATCCAAAAGCCACATTTTCCCATCGTTTTTAAAAGGGGGGGGGGGCTGGCATGAATTTCTACTAGGAGATTGACTCTCAAAGTGTTTCTTAGTCTGCTCATTCAAGTTACTGGATGGACAGCAGTTATTTTTAGGAAAGGATTTTCGATGTATAAGTTCAATGCAATTTAGAAGTAAGCACACGGGCTCCAACTTCCCCAAACCCTTCTCCCTTTTTCCTCAATCACCTTAAGAAAACTGGACCCAACCAGCATTAAACAGATTAATGATTTCTCATTTAATATCAGCTAACTCCCAGTTCCTTCACCTGTCACGCCAGCCCCGTGATCATTATATAAAAGCGTTAAAGGCTGAGTGTTTGGGGCACTCTCCCGCCGCCCCACGCCGCACGCGGGCTGCGCAGCCCAAGCCGTCGGCCACAGCCCCCTCCTTCGGGCGCACCCTCACGCTGCCATTTGCAAACCGTTAGCGCCGGACCTAACGGCAGCGTTTTCTCTGCCGGGGGGTCCTATGGATTCACCTGGAGGTACTTCAGTGACGCGAGAGTCCTGTAAAATGAACAGGGATCATTGCTGCAGTTCACAGAAGACATGTAGAGCTGACCGGTTTGGGCAGGACAGCAGAATGCTGGTAATTAGGAACCTATCCTTCGAATTACAATAGGTTCAGGGTTTCTACCCGATCCTTGGCTGCCCAGCCTTTTTACACACGTAAGCTGCTACTCACCAAGAGGTTTTGCAAAGGTAAACCCATCAGCTGCTAGTGGTACCATCATTATTTATACAGGTACG